GCAGCAGATGCAACAGTTTTTAATTTTGATTGATAGACCTGACGATGATGGAATGAACATCGAAACATGTCGTCATTTTAAAATGTAACAATATCAAATGTTGAAATGTTATAATTTTATGTGATTTTAACAATCTATAAGCTTGTGTAAAGACGGTGAATAAAATTATTGTATTGAAGAACACAAGCATGACGCAATTAAGATATTAAGATATAACTTGTAATTACTGTTTTCCACAAATTCATCTCTCAGTACTTAAGCCATAATTGGAAGGAACAGATGGTTCAGTATGAACAGTTCTGCAAAAGAAACATACTTCAGGTAAGATTTCAGGTTCTTACAGTTTGTATCTTTTGTCAGTCTTTGCCAGACTGCATGGCAGATTGTACCAGGAGACAAATAAATGTCTTCATTTCTGAGATGTTGCACCTTAGAGAGTGGTAGATATTAATTGATGTGTCAGTGGAGTTTATTGCCCCTATTATCAGGGTGATCACAGTGCAACATCCCAGAAGACCACCATCTTCAAACTTACCTCACTTTACAAAACATGTTTTAGAAACATTAGCCTTTTCTTATTATAGATGTATTGATAAGGTGTGCTTTCTGTCATTACATCAGTTTATCATCTCATAATCTTCTGAGCCAACTTATGAAAATGCAGTGCATGTTATTAAATTATACATTCAGACCAAGTTTGAAACCTCTTATTAAGATATATGGTTGTTTAATTAAATTCAGTTCTTTATTATTAGTGTGCTGTATCAACAGCCAGAAGGCCAATTACTGATACACAACAGATTATAAAAAATACATTAGTGTGGAGGACTTTTATACACAAAGGCAACTTGCTACTGAATATATCAATAAATTTGTAATAATCAATTAAATTAAGTATATTATATTAAAAGAAGAAGAAAACTTTCAAAGCAAATACAAACAAACAAGGTACTGAATCAAGGAGTTCATATAATTAAGATGATAACATAGTCGGTGCTGAGTGGAAGAGGTGAGAAAGGGGAACAAATTTATACTTGGTTTCAAATATATCAAAGTCCCTGCAGGTAACGTTAGCAGCTGATCCACTCTACAAAGACAGTTTTTAAGTGAAGGGATGAAATTGAACATATAAAAGTTTCTGTTAGTGATGTATTTATGCATCACACTGCTTTTAAAGATAACACATACAATGTTTTGTAAATCAATATTATATTATATAAATTATTGGTCACTGTATTGACATGCTGATGAATTTGTCATTTTCAATTAACGTTTGATATTAATGTTTCCTTATTGGTTTTTAAGTATTAAATTTATTGAAATAAATAAGAAATAATTGATTTTGTTTCAAGCTATTTGCAGAGCTGGAAAAAGACCTTACTGATTGTATCTCATGACCAGAGCTTCCTTGATAATGTCTGCAATGAGATAATTCATCTGGATCAACAGAAATTATATTACTATAAAGGAAACTACAGTATGTTTAAAAAGATGTATGTACAGAAGAGGAAAGAAATGATTAAAGAGTATGAAAAGCAGGAGAAGAGAATTAAGGAGTTGAAAGCACATGGACAATCCAAGAAGCAAGCTGTACGTATGACATGCTGATAAATTTCTTGTCATTTTCAGTTAACATTTGATATTGATATATATATTTATTTATTGAAAGCATAAAACCTAAAATCTTAATTTTTACATGTGTTTGCAGTTTCTAAAAAAGTACATTTTGGTATTCTTCATCATAACCTGCAACCATCACACTTTGTAGATACCCACTTATGCTTTTGCCAGCATATCAATGTTCATAGGGTCCACCCTGCCTCCTCTCCAGTGGGTAATGGTTGATTTTTCTGTGTTGGCAAATTGGCTGGAGCATGAGTCTGATCATCCACCACTATCTGCAGCCTTTGGTAGGACTGTGAATTTAATGTCTACTCCCCCATACACCTTCAGGGGTTGGTGCTTAGCACAGAAAAAAATCTTTTAGACATGAGGAATATATTAATACTTATACTTGTGCAGTATTTGATGTAATATTAAAAGGTGATTTGAATGTTTATGCAGCCATTTCTATATTTTAAACATTTGTACAACTTCTCTAAATATCCATTATATGTGGTCACGTGTTCAATTGCAAGACTGTATCTTGTTTAAATGCACAAAAAAAACTCCTGTATTTTTTTCATCTTGCCAGATTTTCGTTGTTTTTATTATTATTATTTATGCTATGTTAGGGATTCTCAGCCTTTTCCAAAGCTGGGGCCACATTCACCCTTGCTTATTGAATCACTTGTTGGAATTAGATTTAATGACAATCTATTCAGAATGATGCTAACTAGGCTGATATTCCAAACAGTTTCACATATTAATCCACAAAATCAATCATTACTGGGCTATTTTATTCACTGCTTTTGCTTAAGCAATTTTTCAATGTAAAGTTTAATATTTGTTTTTGCAATTTGCATGCATCCCCCTTAAGTTGCTATCAGTGAGATGCATCCTAGTTCTTGATTTGATGTTCATGATGTTGAACATTTCCTCACAGTGGCAAGTACTGCTAAATAAAGATAGCGTTAACATATTATTTTATGATATCAAGTAGTCATTAACCTGTGAAACAGGACTGTACTTCAAGGAAAGACAACATTGTATGGTTCTTAATTGGCTGAGGTCAGTGCATGTTATAGAAATTCCACTATTATTTTTTACTTTGTTTAGCAGAAGTGACATCTTAATCTTTGCTGTAGCAACACAGAACATGCACACAATGTTACAGAAAATACTGCAAACTTACAAAATATTATCTATATCATTCATTTGAAGTTCAGATACTCCCATGATGGGACTGCGTCTAATGTTGACAATAATCATATCGCATTGATGAAACTTGCTTTTCGGTCCAAACAAGTAAATTGAGTTCAAAGCATATGATACCCATCTTACTTTTCAAAGCTGCAATTTACTGTAATATAAAGCAGAATATACTAAAAACAACAATTATTTCAAATGTATTTAAGTGTAATATGATTATTTTGTGTTAACTCTCGATACCCAGGTAATGACTGTTTAAAAACACTGATTCTGTATCCTTGCTAAGACATAAACCTCAGTTTCCAGCCACCAAATATTTGGTAAAATGTGTGTGCACTGTGCAAGAAAGCTCAAACAAGGACCTCCTGCATACAGTAATTTTCCTTTCGTACACCCTTAAGTTTAATTTGTCCTTTTTATAGGAAAAGAAGCAAAAGGAAGTTCTTACAAGGAAGCAAGAGAAGAATCGTAGTAAGGTTCAGAAAAGTGAAGATGACCAGGGACCGACAGAGTTACTGCAGAAACCTCGGGAATATATAGTCAAATTTTCATTTCCTGATCCTCCACCACTGCAACCTCCAATTCTGGGCTTGCATAGTAAGTTTCTTCTCTCGAGTCTTCAGCGCAGTAAACTCCCAATTATCTGTGCTAATGAAGGGTAGAAGATGCGTGAATAGTCAAAAACATGGATAATCCAAAGTATTTTGTGTGGAACATTCACAGAACTTCACAACTTGCTTT